GTCATGCTGTGCCGACTTTGACCTCGTCGATCGTGGAGCTTGGTGTTTTGGTTTGACTCGCGCGATGATGATAATGATGACGCTGGTGACGATGATGATGATGATGATGATGATGATGATGATGATGACGTTGCTGATACTGAGGATGGTTTTTATTGTGATGCTGCTGATACTGATGATGGTAATGCGGCTGCTGCTGATACTGACTATGGTTTTGATGATGATGATGATGGTGATGGTGATTATGATGGTGATGGCGATTATGATGACGGTGACGGTGTGTAACTTGAAGGTGCTCGACGTGGAAGAATCGGTGTCGTTCAGCCGGCTGTTCAGTGCGCTCAACTTCCTCTTCTGTATGCCGGAGGCGAAGGGCGAGGTATGCTACAGTATGATTCCTGTCTGCGTGTGCACATGATAAATGGCTGACACACCAATACTTTTTTTTGAAGGTCGACATGGTGGAGTGTGTTGACTGAAATGGGTGTAAATGCAGGCGCGCTACTTGAGGAGATCACGATGCTTCCATGCAAAAACACACCACAAGACTTGCGAGTAGGTTGGGTTGTTTTGGGTCTGTTTGCAGTTGGACCAGTGTTGTGATGGAAGGAAACTTGCCGTGGCACGTGCAGGCCACGACAAGGTTGTTCGTACCCTGTGGGTTGCCTCTCTGACTCTCGGACATCCGGTCGTGTTTGCTGGGTTGTCCTGTTCCTTCCACGCATGTTTCATGCCAACCCAACAAACACGCGGACAACGAAACCCCCCTCTCTCCATTATTCAAGTCTACAGGAACTACCGCTTGCAGAAAGGAATTCATGGGGCAGGACGTACCGTTCACTTTAGTTTTTTCGCTATTATTGCGTGTGTCGTCTTCCATTCTTGCGTGTTGCATACATTGATGTTTTAGCACTCTCGTTGAACATGACATATCCCACCCGAATACATGTCTTGATATGGCCGTTCCGTATCCCGTTTCTAGTTCCATATTTGACGTTTTCCTGTTCCGTATCCCGCGTCTGGTTCCCTCCGCATTTGTCGGTGTGACTGTCATATCCAGGCCCGTGTAACCGACGCGGTGCAATTCGGAGACGGTTTCGGGCTCGCCGGTGCTGTCATCATGCACCTCTTGGGGCAGCGGCATCAGTTCGAACTGCTAGACTTCTCCTACCACGTTCTGAATGTCAATAACTTCGAGAGGTGCGTGTGCGAGCATTGAGAGCGGTTTGTTGTTTTTTCCCGTTTTTGTTGTCGTCGTGTTCGTGTGATGTCGTCTGGGTCCTTTTTTGGTTTGGTTTTGCGTAATGTGTATGTACCCTTGTTGGGGTATTTGGTCCGTGACCACGGAGGATGTCCGTCGCGTCCGTTGGACTGGTACACTGATGTTCGAAAGCACCAAACACAAACCGAAACGGAGCGTTTTTTTTTGTGAAGACAACAACAACAACAACAACAACAACAACAACAACAGCAGCAGCAGCAGCAACAATAACGCCCACACAAACCTCAATCGGCTGTGGCCTGTTTATTGTTTGGCTTCAAAGGGCTGGCTCGAAGGATGGAGAGACAGGACTGAACGTGGAGCCGGCGAAGGCTAGAGAAACGGAGGCATTTTTGCATGAGGTGAGGTTACGGTGGTATCTATGATAGCGCCCCCAAGACTGACTATTCATTGCGGGCACCATTCCGTTTCTCCTGCGCTTTGCCCTGGCATCCGTGTCTAGGTATCAATCGTGGCGGTGTGGAAGATGTCAGCTGGATGACGATTGCCGTAGACCATGGTGCTTTACCTGCGTTGCTGTGGTTGCAAGCACACTGACAGCTGAGAAGAAGGCCGATGGGATGGGATCATCATGCACCTTTCACCTCTCTCCGTCGTCAAACACGCCCTTCTCCCCGGCCTTGTCCTCCCCTCTCCCGCGATAAACGCCGCCTATCTGGCTCGTTGTTTGAATGGTTCGGCCGACTCACGCCACTTGCACATGAACATGAACCTAGCTAGCGCGTCTCACATTGAGGGCGTGTCTTGTATTGTATTGGTCCAGTGTGTCCTTCGCGTCCTTCGCGTCAACGCCCCCTTGTGTCAACGTCTCATGTCTTGTCTTGTCGTATCCTCTTGTTTGTCTTGCCTTGCCTTGCCTTGTCTTGTCTTGTCTTGTCTTATTTGTCTTGTCTTGTCTTGTTTGTCGTTGTCGTTGTCGTTGTCGTTGTCTTGCCTTGTCTCATCTCTTGCACAGGCGCACCGTGAGTTCTGTCTAATGTTCGACGCTTTCTCGGTGGCGGAGGCAGTTCTGCCCAGCCGACCCACGGACCAAGCCGCAGAGGTCCGGATTTTCCACCCTCCAAAGGACGACACCAAGATTAACAGGGCCCTCCTGGTCGACAAGTGCGTTCCACTGGCACTCTAAGCAAGCTCGTACGCATTGTAGCGACAGATGCCCCAACCAACCAGCGGGCGATAAAGTTGCTTCAGGCAGTCAACGCTCTCGAGTTGTCGTAGACTACACATGTGTGTCGTCCCATCATTGTTGGCTTATACCTTTCGGTACAGGTATGCATACCGTGGTAGTCTTGTTTTCTTGACAAGTGCAGTTTTCCCCCTATGAACACAGTGCAAGAGTGTCGTTTTTCGTCTTTTCCTTTTGGCTAGCGCATCACGTCCTCGTTGCAGGGTATCCCCAACTGCTGTGTGTCGTTCGTTTTGCTTACGGTGCGGTCTTGTATGCTGTCCCAGGGGAGATATCTGGGAGACCCAAGACGTGCTCGGCGACCGGCAAGCAGAAGCGGCAGCGAAGAAGGTCCAACGACCTAGCGCTACCAAGACGACTCCCACAAAATCTAGCTTCTTGCGACGATCTAGCAAGGAGAAGTCGTATGTGGTGAGTTGGGACAGTGGTAGGTAGTCCGCCACCAACAAAGGCGTAGGGTGACTGAGGGTGGCTTGTTCCAAATAAGCGGCAGTATTGTTATCATCAGGAGCCCATTGGGCTCCATGATTTCCCTGGAAACTCTAGATCGAAATCATCGGCTTCTCAACCCAACTTTCCGATTTCCCTCTTCCTCAATGCCTCTCTCTGCCATCCTCTCTTTCCCTCTCTCTGCCTCTATGCCTCTCTCTCCGTCTCTCTCTCTCTCTCCTTTGTCCCTCTGCGGGATGGATGATTATTACTCTCTACCTTTTGCATTTTTTCTGTGATCCCGCAGCCGACCGAGGCAGACCGTGTCGAAGCGGACAACCGCAAGAAGAAGCTCAACAACTTCACCGTCGCCCTGCAAGCCTTCATGGACGGAGGGGAAGACGAGACAAAGCCGACCGCCGCGTCTGCCCTACCGACGCCGGCCCCCATCGACCCCCTCAGTACCCCGGCCGCGCTCTCCCCGACGCCATCAAGCATCGACGTGCTGAAGGCGGCGGCGGCGGGCGGCGGCGGGGGTGCAACGAGAGCAAAGCCCCCGGCGGCCGCGCCGCCTCCGCCCGGGTCTGCAACCTCTCCCTCGCCCGGCGACAGGAAGTCGGTGCCCGGGAGGCCTCCTCCGCCGTCAGCGCAGGCGGCGATGCCGGGGAGCAGGCCGTTGTCGTCGCAGCGCATGATTATGCCGCCGCTGGCGGCCGGAGGCGAGCGGCCGTCGCGGGCGAAGAGCATGTCGCCGCCACCCGTGTCCTTCAGCAAGCTCAACGACGCCACGGAGGTCGGGAAGAACGGCCTCGAGAAACGGGAGCCCCGCAGCTCGTCTCAGGACAGGGGGGGTGTCGCGAGAAAGAAGAGCAGCGGCAGCCTTCCCCCGGGGGCGGACAAGATCATGGAGATGGGCTTCTCGGCGAGGAAGGCGCGGGCGGCGCTGGAGCGGTCTGATGGAGACGTGGACCAGGCGGTGGAGTGGCTGCTGACCCACCCTTCTGCCCCGGATGAGGACTCCGGAGATGAGGAACCCGAGGACGACGCGCTGCCCCCCTCCCCTTCATCGGCGTCGCCCCCCCCCGGGAGGAAGTCGTTGCCGCCCAAGAAGTCCAAGCCCTTGAAGCCGCAGAACCCGGTGTTTGACCAGCAGGCCTTCACCCCGGTGCTCATCCCCGCAAAGCCAGGGGCGATTGTTGTTGCGAGCGGGCCGAATGCGTGGACATCCCCTGGAGGGGCCGGCGGTGGCTCTAGCGGCGTCGGGGGTGGGGCGGGGGCGGGCGGAAGTGAGGGAGATTTGCAATCGTGTTTGCTGACTAATTGCCCCTTTGCAAGTGGTGCACTGCTTGTAGTTGCTTGAGGGGGGGGGGGGGGGGGGGGGTAGGTTACCGCTGTCTATCGGTGCGCTTTTTCGATCGCCGAAGCAACACCGAAAAAGGACCACCATATCTACGAGAAGGACGTGAACCCTCAATATAGAGCACTGCTACTGCACAATTTTTTTATCTTGGTACAAACGCAGCACTTGTATAGTAGTCCGTACTTCAATCGTCTCGTAAAGGCTAGGCGCTCACCCAGAGGCTTCGAAATTTCGGTTCTCCAGATACGTGTCTTACTCTACTGTACGAGGCATATGTGATCACATATCTGTAACCTGCAGAGTCGCACTCATGTATGGTACACCAGAAGTCATCTCCAATACCACTTCATGGTGACCCTGTCCTCTTTGCATGCCCCACTCTCCCAGCAGCAGGATCCACCGCTCTCACCCTCGTGGCACCCCTCTCGGCACCAGGGCCACCACCTCAAGGTCCACCGCCTCAAGGGCCGCTGCCTCAAGGGCCGCCGCCTCAAGGGCCACCGCAAAGCGGCGGGGGGGGGAGTGGGCTTTCCCGCCCGCGGTCCACACCAAGTATCATATCTGCGCTGGACCCGGACTCTGTGGACACGTTCGAGCCGCAAGTCGCGCCGCTACCGCGGCAGGCCTCCCAGTCGCCGCCGCCGCAGCGACAGGGACCACAAAAGGAGCAGCAGCAGCAGCAGCAGGGGCCGGCGTCTCAGTTGGGGAGCCCGGTTCCGGCAGCAGCGACCGCAGCGGGGGGGTACCGGCGGCAGTCAGCGCCCACGGGGCTTTCGTACGGGAACGTAAGCCTCGGTGGTGGCATGCCGCCGCCGAGAGGCGTCCCTTCACAGCAGCATCAGCATCAGCAGCAGCATCAGCAGCAGCAGCAGGGGGCCCAACAGCCGCAGAGATCAACGTCGGCGTCGCCGCCCAGCCTTGGGCCGATCCTCGGCAGTGCATCGCCCCCCCAGCTTCGGCCACAACTTCAGCAGCAGCAGCAGCAGCAGCAGCAGCCACGACCGAGCAACCCGGGTCTCGGTACCAGCCCCGGCCCCGCCCGCCCGCCACCGCCGTCGGGCCCGGCGGCCGTCGGCGGCAGCACCGCCAGAGGACCGGCGCGCACGCCGGTTCCGTCTGGCCGGGCGGCGGTGGGTGGCGGGGGTAGCGTTGTGGGTGGCGGCAGCAACGCGGGTCGGAGCTTGGTGCCCGCGGGAGGTTCGTCTCCGGCGCTTGTTGCTGGCGGTCCAGCACAGCAGCAGCAGCAGCAGCAGCCGAGACCGCAGCTCCAGCAGGGCCCCATGATGCCGTCGCAACAACAACAAGGGCGCCCGGCAATGCAGCCAGCCATGCAGCAGCAGCAGCAGCAGCAGCAGCAGCAGGCGAGGCCGATGATGCAAGGGTTAGGCATGCAAGGCACGCCGCAGGGACGGGGCCCGCCACAGCAGCAGATGACCGTGGGCAGTGCCGGGGGGGTGTCGATGACGGCGGGGACGCAGAGTGGAATGGCGTCCCAGCAACAACAGTTTTCGGGACAGAATCGAGGGGTAGGGATGATCGGGGCTCGAGGTCCAACAATAACGGGGGGTCAGGCTCCTAGGGGGATGGGGATGGCGATGAACGCAGGTGGACAACAACAGATGGTCGGTCGACCAACGGGCATGGTGAGACATACAAATATACGAAAGAGACAGCCACAAATTCAGACAGACAGACGGATAGAAAGACACACAGACGAAATGGGAGGGAGGGAGAGAGAAAAAAACTCCCGCCGTATGCGTACTGCAGTCGAGTCTTGGGGCTGCACTTGCACTCATGGCCAGCGGTGTCAAAAACGTTCCTTCTGGCGCGACAGTAGTCCCGTGTCAAGTATTCCTCGTGCCCCCTTGACCTGTTTTCCAACCGCTGATGAGCTGGGCACGTCGGCACATCTCACGATGTCCGTGTCGGGGCAAAGTGACAGAAAAAAGCGTTTTGTTTTCATGTTCGTGGTCAGAATACGTCCTCGTCGTTCCCGGTGTACTCTCCTCCATGTCGAAGGGTTCTCAGCGAAACATGGAAACAAACGTAGCGAGTGAATGAAAGCTGGGTATGACATGAGACACCGTGGTGTGAGCAAGGTCAGCGTCAAGGTTTCCCGAGAGAGAAGGAGATGGCAGCTGAACGAAGGAGGAGGGAGATGCGTGTGTGAGAGAGAGACGTGTGACCAATAGTGCTGTCTGCTTGTCTCGTTGCATCGAACACCGATGCTGCTGAATGTTTCCTGCCCATGCTCGTCTCGGAATCCGATCCGGTCTTTCCTTCACACGTGCCTCGGCTGCACCTTCGCAGCAACCTCACCCGCAGGTTCTCCAGCCGCAACAGCAACAGCAGCCGAGACCCCAGGGGCAGGCTCGACCGCAGCAGTTTATGCAGCAACAGCAACCTCGGGCGATACCAACCCTGCAGCCGACACCAGCCCAGCAGCAGCAGCAGCAGGTTCGGCCAGTTATGCAAGGAGGTCTGGGGATGCAGGGGGCGCAGCAGGCGCGGGGGGCGCCGCAGCAGTTCTCAGGACAACAGCTGGCGAGGCCTCAGGGACAGGTAAGGCCGCAGCAGTTTCAGCAAGGGCAGGGTGGAATGCAGGGTCAGGGTGGAATGCAGGGGCAGCAGCAGCAGCAGCAGCAGCAGCAGCAGCAGCAGCAGCGGGGCCGGCAGTTCCAACCTGCTCAGCAGATGGCGAGAGGTGTCCAAGGGATGGCGGCAGGAGGCATGATGCAGCAAGGTGTGCAGCAGCACGGCATGGCGCAGAATGGTCGACCTATGGTTGGGGCCGCCCCTCGACCACAGCAGCAAGGCGTGCAGCCCCAGCAGCAGCGGATGTCGATGAATGGTGTGCAGCAGCCGATGCAGATGCAGCAAGGGATGCAAGGCCCCAGGGGGAACATGGCCCAAGCGCAACAACAACAGCAACCAGCAGGGGCCGGTCAGATGACACCTCAGCAGCAGGTAGCCTGTTGGTCGGGGTGAGAGTGTTTATTGGGGTGCGGGTACTTTTACACCCTCGAATCGCTGCTGTGCTGCCCGATTCAGAGCGCTCAGGTTGGTTAGGGCTGACGGAAGCGATACGCAGGTAATGGTCAAGGAAGTTGGAGTTACGGTGCACGATTGTATGGCATTCAGGCTGGTACACGTCGTGTGCATCGTTTGACCGGAGCAGCAGTGAAGAAGTATTGTACAGTATCGATAAGAATACGTGCAGCATAAAACTCAACTTCTCAGCCCCATGTCCAGAGCACCTGGAAACACCTGGAACTTAACGAGACTGTACCGCTTCCGCAAGCCCTACTTAACCTGAGCGTGTTGAATGGGGTAGCATAGCGATTCCTGGTTTAAGCTGCAACAAGATGAGTGTGCCAGCGTGAATCGTGTGCATCAAGAACACATGGCTTTCCGACCTTAAATCGGTGCGGACAAGGGCTTTTGATATCCCGAACAATCCTTCGGTTTAGCACTCATTTCCGCTTCAATTGGTCTGACTCGTTGGTTTTTCACGTTCTATTTTGCTGTGTTTTTTTCGCAGCAACAGCTGTGGCAGCAACAACAACTCCGGCAGCAGCAGCAGCAGCAGCAACGGCAGCAGGGCTTCAACCCTAGAGGCTAAATAGCTGGGGTAGTCCCGGCGAAGCGTTTCGCCGGGCTATGCTAGTTCACGCGCGGTCGCTGTGGTGGAGACATTCGAAAGTGCACCGGCCTCCTTTGAGAGCTGTTTTTGTCAATCCATATGCCGAAACGGTATGAGAAAGTGTAGTGTTTGTTCTTTGCCGGAGCACTGCACAAGAATCATGACGTTTCAGTTTTTTTATCCGTGATGGGTCGAGAGATTATACTTGTAGCAGTTTTGTATAACGTTAATCTTGGGAACTAGAGAGTGTTGATTGAGAATCTGGCGCTTCTCGATGGTGATGTGATTGGTGCAAGAACGGTAGGCGAAGGCTGCCAACGGCCTCAAATGTTGGTATTAATAGATCGGAGATAGATGATCGACGATCGGGGTTTCAACGCCGGAAACCTGTTTTGTTGTTTAAGTTGTAGGTTCTGTGCTAGCGTACGCGATTTTTCAAGTTCCCAAGCAGTGTATCTAGAGGATCGTACAGCAGTAGCGCAGGTAGTTTTGTCCCACGATTGAAATATAAGGGATTTTTCCTGGTGACACCCGTGTTCCTCTCTTGGCATTCCCCACAGAGCGATGTGGCCCCAAAATCCGGCGACCCGGCTCGGAAACGCCGTGTTCGAATGGATCAATTGCTTGGTGAGAAAGCTCGTTTTGCTGGGTATTTGTACATGGAAAGCCCGACGTCGCGAAATATAAACGAAACCGCCAAGCAGCACAAGATACACCAGACTGGCGATCAAAAGAGGCACCAAAATCAAACGTGCCACCAAGTCACGGACTTATTCACAAAGAAGAACGGCGTTTGTGATCGGTGACGATTGTTGACGCACACGCTCGCCCACCTGTCGTGCGAGCCTACTGACGAGGAAAGTGTGTTGGCGTTTGTTGTGTCCAGCTGTAAGACTGACTGACGTCTTTTGATTGTGGTCAGCCAGCTTGCGCAGTCGATGCTATGTGAAGAAACACACAACGACATGTACCCGGCGCACTCTCGCCACACGAGTTGTAGTCGACTATTATTATTGTCGTGCGGACTCTCATCATTATTTGAAGCCAGAGAGTTGACCCACATCATCTGTCATGTTGCATTGAACCAAGCTTCGGGAAAACTGATACGTTTTTTCGCTCAGCCCTGGAGCTGTATTCCATGTAATCATAGTCTCGTTCAGTGTGATGGTCAAGACGAAATCGTCGCTGGCCTACATACAGCTATAAATGCATGCGGCGGCAACCAACGCCAGGGAATATAGGAAATGCAAGTCAGCAACCGATGGTCCGAAGGACCCAAGACAGTCAGCAAAATACGGGGCCCAGTGATTGTCGGGGCTCAGCGAGGTGTAACGCAACATCATCACCGGTCGGAGAGATGGCACCGGGGGGGGGGGTTACGGAGTGTGGTTGCTGGCATCAATAGAGTACATCTTGGCTGACTCTTATGGCAACCGAAAGTTGACCCGACGGATTTTTTGGACTGTCGTACCCCCCCCCCCCCCCCCCGATTTTCCCCGGATTCCACCCTGAAAAAAAACCCCCCCCCCATCCCCCCAAAATTTTCCCCCCCTGAAGGGGGGATCCCCCCCCAAAATTTGAGGGGGGGCCCCCCCCACCCCCCTTGTGGGGTTTTTTAAACTTGGGGGGGCTCCCGGGGGAACTGTGT